TAGAAACTCAGAGCAAAATTCCCGGGCATGCTGTGTGAGATTGTAAAGGAAAGGCTCAGATAAAGGCAGTATGATGTACTCGCTCTCTGCTGCTGCAGTGTGTCCTCTATGCTTTGTGTGATCACCTCCTGAATATTTCTCTTGGAAGATAGAATTCACCACATTCATAAAAGCATTTTGGGGTTTTGTGCATCTTACAAACTCAGCTGTTCATTATTGCTTGAATTGGAATGAGGTCAGCTTGTAAGTAATGGGCAGACTGATCTCTGAGTGCTCTTGCAGCAATGAGTGTGGTTCTTCGATAGAGGACGGCTCAGAGAGTGATAATATTAAATGAAATCTGTGTGAAAGGAATTTCATAATTCTAAATATTTTGCTGTGGCAAGTTGGTTTTCATTATATAAACGTGTTCCCCTGTGTGTCATTAATGTGTAGGCTGACACAGATGTTATGAAAACTTCTGCTGAGTTCTGATGAGTTAAAAAAACGTACTATAGGCAGAAGAATTGCTAATGTAAAACAGTGTTTTTAATGAAAAGTTGTTTCTATTGCAGTGTTGAAATATAGTTGTCCTGGTTTCAGCCAGGATAGAGCTGGTTTTCTTCACAGAAGCTAGTGTGAGACTGTGTTTTGGATTTGGGATGAGAAACTGTTGATAATATGCTGATGTTTGGGGTTGTTGCTGAGCAGTCAAGGACAGTCCAGCTTCTTGTGCTGGCCTGCCAGCGAGCAGGCTGGGGGGGCATGGGGACCTGGGAGGGGCACCAGCCGGGACAGCTAACCCAGACTGGCCAAAGAGATATTCCCTACCATACGACGTCATGCCCAGTACATAAACTGGAGTTGGCCGGGGGGCGGAAATCGCTGCTCGGGGACGGGCTGTGGATCACGGGGAGGTGAGCAACTGCTGTATTGGGCATCACTTGTTCTTGTACATTCCTTTGTTGGTATTATCATTGTTGTTCCCTTCTTTCTTTCTGTCCTATTAAACCGTGTTTATCTCAACCCACGAGTTTTGTTCCCAATTCTCTTCCCCGTCCCACTGCGGGAGGGGGAGTGAGCGAGCGGCTGCGTGGTGCTTAGTTGCCGGCTGGGGCTAAACCACGACAATAGTTAAGTACAAAAATTAAAAGTAGACTGTATGAACCTTCAAGAACATTCCTTTCCTACACTTTTCTTTCTGTGCTTAGGTTTGTGCTTTCTATTAAGCACTTTTATACAGCTATAGGCAAAATAAACAGTTGTATGTTGTTAAGCCTGGGTTTCAGATCCCCAGAAGCAAATCCACCAAAATTCTGGAAATGTTTTACTTCAAACTTTTAAAAATTAAGCTTTGTTAAAGAAAAATCGATGTCTTTTCAGATTGTAGAAACATTTTCTTATCCCAGAATTTTTAAAACAGGTTTTCACATGGTATATGCAGGGTGCTGGGATAGCAACAGTTATAAGTACAAGAGAACTGTAATTTCCTGATTTCCAAGCTTTGAAATGCATGTTAGTATAATTCAGTTCTAATATGAAAGACAAATATTGTATCACAGAGTAGGACAAAATGCAATAATGTCATAGAAAACCGTCTGTCTCAGATTATGAAAGAAACAAAGAAAACCAGTAATACTGGATCTGCAGTTACCTGCAGATACCTGAACTCAGTATCAGTTATCTGCAGCCAGTTAGGCCTTGTCATATATTTCTGTGCCACCTTACTTTATGATCTTTGATTTGCATTCCGGTCAGTAGCTTCTGTGACAGAGTCTGTGTTGCTTATGCATCAGACTAAAAGAGAAGTATTTACTTGATTGCTCAGTTTTACTTATTTCTACATGCACAGCTCAACATTACATTTCAAGGACATTACTAAATATGAATAGCCTTGTAGATTCTACTGCGAAGCTGATTTCATCATGCTAGACTAAGAGTGAGAGCTCCTACAAGAAGGTCCTTTGTGTGAAGTACAGACAATGTATTGGTAAATGCTTCATTTATTCACTCATTTAAATAAGTAAGCAGTCATTGAATGATTAATATAAGCCCATGTAGAAAATCTGTTTTTGTAATTTTCTTCATGTCAATACTTGCAAGTACACATTTATTGTATGAAAGGACTAAAAATAAAAATAAACAAAGAAACAAATCCTCCTGGCTAGTCATGTAAGAAACACGTAAAGCATAGAAGTAGCTCTGCTGCAATCTGGATTTGAGGTTCCTGCACCCATTGCTAATTGACTACTCTGAGTGGGCTGAGTAATCCTCTGTTGACTTAGCCAGTCAGTCCTGTGCACACCCCAGAGCAGTTATTGCTGTTGGATTCCAGAGGGGAGTTGGTGAGTGTTTAGGGTGAAGCACTGCTTTTGAGAATATATGGGGTGTCCAGAATTAGACTTGCTTTGGGAATTGAAAATGTTATTTTGTGACTTGCTCGTCTTGGGCAACGGATGACAGGTGGATTTCTGGAAATACGGTGTGCTACAGAAATGAAAGAAAGGCTGGTTTTAGCCTAGTTTCTTAGGGAAACTGAGCTTGTGTCAGCAAGCTGTCTCTTAAGATTGTACCACTGTTTATTTTTTAAAATTAACTCTGCCATTTTCAAACATACTTGTGAGTAAGCCCTTACAAGTTTCATAAAAACAAGCAGCTAGCTTATTTTTGTATTTCTATAGAAGAAAAAGTTGCAATGTCAAGATTGTTTATTAAATGCTACAGAATCCAAATGGAAGGACCTCCAGAATGCCCAACCACAAATAAAAGAAAAGCCATCAGAAGTCTCATCTTGAGCCACATGTATGACAAGCACAGGAAGCCAGACATTGAGTCCCACTGGGCACAGATCAACTTGTTTTCCCCAGTGAGATGTCTTCCCATCAATGTTTTTAAGGAGTTGGCCTAAGACCGGTTTACTGAGCTGTATGAAAGAGTACTGTTAATAACGCAGTGAAATGCGTTAAAAGACCATCGTGCTCAATCTGAGGTAAAATTGTACAAGCTGTGACATGACACCACACTTTTTCTCATTTTTAACCATCCTTGGTATTCTCTTAATGTGTATTCCATTTTTTCTGTAAGAATTATGACCTACTTTTGATACAATAAATGCACAGTGGCGTTGCAGGCAAGAAACTGACTGTTTGCCTTGGAGGCAGTGATGCGCAATCTAGCTTTGCAGTGAAACTTTAACTATGCTCAATCACAGAGAGCTCGAGAGCGGGGCTCATCCTTTGTAGCATCTCCTTTTCCCCTGTCAAGGGAGAGTTATATTACATTGCTGTTTAAGTCCTTGTAACTTTTTGGTGGTTAATTCTACCAGAAGAATCCCAAGTCTGCAAAGCCATTTAGTTTATTAGTAGCTTAAAACAGAAAAAAGAAAATATGGAGAAATATGGAGAAAATGAAGAGGGAGCAAAGGATTTGTGCAGAGTTTCTACAAAGGTTCTTTCGTGTCATGTAACCTCAAGTCTGTTTTGAATTTGGTTGGATTGTATGTGTACCACCAACCCTGGGCATGTTTGGGCAATGAATACTTTATAATGGACCTTAGTAAGCTGGAGGGCAGCTCTGCAGAAGCATCTTTATGGGATAGTCATAAGCTAGAATAATTTCCGTTGCGTATTTTTTTTCTTCTCGTTTATACTGTTAATGGAATTTTGGATAAAGGACACCATGCTGAATGCTTTCTTACCTTCTGTAGTAACAGTGCATACGAAATTGGGAGCTGATATCGAAAGCCAAGCCTGGCCTCTGTTAATAGTCGAAATGCATTCTCTGTTCTCTGCTGCCCTCTTTTTGAGCCATTCAGGTCATATAACCATCTAGAATCCTCTTTGGCAATTTCCTTTTGTAAGTCCTGCAGCAAGAAACAATACACCTGTGGCTTGTAATACAATATGGAGGCTTATGAAAATAACACTTAAGCCTTTCTAGTGTCTATTAATAATACTCCAACATCATGAATATTGTTAGGTAATACCCATGTTTAAAAATATTTCTTATTTCCTTTTCCTCAAATACTGACTTTTTCAACCTAACATTTACGTGAGGCCAGCTTATGTTCATGCCTACAGTTGCAGTGGATTTAAATAAGGTAGCTTTTGATGTTTGCATCTTGTTCTGGGAGTCATCAGATAGTAAATTTTAAAGTAGTGATATTGTCTGCTTTCAGACAAGCTTGCAAAACTTTCTCTGAGATTCAGCTTACCTTCTTTGCATGGAATACAAGGTAGATAGATACGGTTCTGTATCAGAATGGCTGATTCTTGTTGGGCCCTGCAAATGAGGCAGCAGGGGGAGCCAATATATGCTTTGTGTTACGTGAAGTCTGATGCACGCTATGGAGTGCAGGACTAGGATAATATCGGAATACAGAAATAGCTGGCAATTTTCAGCCACGGGGGATACTAGATTCTGTTAACATTTCTTCTGAGTTGTATTATGCAAAGAAAGGGCAATATTGTGTGCTTGTGTCTGCCTCTCTGATTGTACGTTGCTAGAGCATAGACCTGGATAAGAATTTTGAACTTGATCTAAAATGAAGATCAAATTTTAATGTACTAGCATATGGCTCTATTAATTTTCAGAGTGTTTTTGCTGTAAAACAACAGATCAATTTCTTGAAATTGTGTTTTTTACTATTAAATAGATTTTGTGAGAAAGTAAGAAGCAAGATCAAGTAGGAGACCAACAGAGGGAGGGAGAGTGAGAAATGGGCCTAGTTTGTCCATAAATACTGTCTTTTCATTATCAAAGGAGACAGAAATAAGCCTGACGCAGAACTGTTTTCATTTAAGCTCCTCTTTCCTGTTGTTTCCCTAAAGGGATCCACTATAACCACTAGCTTTGAAAAATGAAAATGCACCACTTTTTTTGTCATAATCCAGTGCATTTCTGCTAATTTTTTAGTCAGCTGTAAGCTTTGTGATGTTAACTAAGCCCACATTTTTGCATAATCTACTTGAAAGCAGATAACTTTCATAGAAACCTACTGTTATTCAAAAGATTCATAAACACCAGACTCTGGCATTTATTACCAATCTGCAAAGCAATACCACTCATTGTTCCCTTAAATCCTAAAGTCTGTCTGGTTTAGGTCTTGTAACTGTGCTGTAAGCAGCACCTTCGTATAACTCATTACCGAATATGATACCACCAAAACATTCTGCAAAAAACAGGTGGCAAGTTGTTATTTCACATCCCACAGACACAGGAGTTGCTAAAAATGATAGCTTGTTATTTCAGATTTCTCTTTCCCGAAGGCTGTCCAATAACGCTGTAAGCTTCTTTAATGCATATTTAATTTAGAACTCAATAAGCCTAGTCTGAGATGTTGGGCATTTACAAACTAGCTGCTAAAAATCACATGAGGATTACCAAAATGTGCTTAGTTATTGGTCTGCTATGCATCTTTACCTTAACAGTATAGTAATTCTCAACCCATACTAAGTGAAATGTAATGAAATAGTTCTTAGTACCTGGTATAATTAACTGGGGGCACATGTTAAAATACTGTTACACTATTTTTTCGCACAATATGTATTACTTGCCATTACGAATAACCTTCAGTATAATTTTGTAATAAAAACCTATTAACGGAGAAAATTTTTTTTCATTGCTTGAAGTTATTTCTGTTTTGGGGATTTAACCTTAAATTGCCAGACTGAGTGTACAAATATATAGCTACTATTTCCTCTCAGCTTGCAAGTAGAGGAATTGGAGGAGAAAAAGTCTGCAGAAGAGGACAAAGAAAGAAATGGAGTCACCACAGGCTGCCTGTTGCGTTATTCATTCAATTACTCAATTGTGCATTACCCACACACTTACCATAAGTCTTGGGAAATACACCAGCTCTACTCATCGTTATTAATTATCTGCTCTTCCTTGTCCCCAGAGCTGTTATACAATCAGTCACATTCTCTTTCTTTATATTAAAAATGTTCACATGACCATTTAACCAAGAGTTAACACTCTAGGAAGCTACGACACGGCAACCTGTGTGCCAGGGATTATGTACTTCACGTGTTGGCTTTGGCACTGATACTCTTCATGGCTTTATTTGCTTCATCTAGATACTTCAAATATCTGTTCTCTTGTCAGTCTTTGTCATAATCCATCTCTGGTTTATAATCTGTACAGCATGCTTCATGTAGCAGTGATGGATAAGTGGTTCTCTAAATGTTCTCGGAGAGAAAAGCCATACGCTTTCCTACACCTTGGGCTATGCATTTGGTCTCATTTTAATTCTCTGGTAGTGTAGCTGTTGATTTTAGTAGGTCTAATCATGACTTACACTATGGTAAACGAGAGGAGAATCAGCTGCTGAAATAATCCATCTGATTGATACAATAGCACTTTCGTTAATAAACTTACCTAACAGCAATATATCTTGATTAACACATATGTATTACCTTTTTCTTTTGAGACTTTATTACTGTAACGTAATCTGTCATCTGTGTATGGGAGGCCAATGTTGATTATGTCTGGGAACTGATACCAAGACTCACGATGGTCCTTTGAAATCCATCCCTGAATGCAGCATATGAGAATGGGAGATACAAATTAATTAAAGGTGCTCTCTTCATATTCAAAATACATTTAGAGAATAGTTAAAGTTTGTCTGCCTCTTCTTGCTAATCTTTTCCATTTTCACTTCTGACATTACATTTCAGGTTTTTTGGCAGAAAGGATGTTCATTATCAACCTTCAACATTACACATCATTGCTGTATGCCTGCACGCAGTACGTATCCTGTTTTAGTATCCACTCCACCATTTTAATAGATGCTGTCTTTTCAGGACGACTAAATTGGTGGTCCACAGTGTGTACAAGCTGCAAACGTCTTCTTCCCTTGGCTACAACAGGTGATGGAAACTGCCTTTTACATGCTGCATCTTTAGGTAAGGGAAAGTCTGTACATGAAACCTTCTGCCAAAAATATTTACCACTTTTCTCTATTCCCAGCAAAAGCTCAGAAACACAGCGGATGCAAAGACTTTTCTTAAAAGCCTGATTCTGGAGCAATATATTCTTCAAATTTCACCTAAGTATTGTTTGCTTTAGGCATGCTTGAGAGAGGAAGGTAAAAGTTTTATATTGTTTAAAAGAAGATTTATTGGAACAGTATCAAAAACCATGTATCATAAACACCAGTGGTTTCCATTTTCCTTACAGAGCCCAACCCAACAGCTCTGGAACAGGCAAATTCCAGGTGCCTCTTCAGGACTGTGGGCAAGAAATTGCATTCATTCTCTGGCTTTTGTTAAACAGTTCTCTTGCTGTCTTCAAGAATGCAACCAACATCTAGCTATTCTCTCTGTTGGTTCCCTGTAGAGTTTAAGTACCTGGGAAACAGAGTTTGGCTGAATTAAAATAATTTCCAATTGATTAATTAATCAATACAAGGTCTTTGAAGCCTTTTTTCAAATCAAATAACTAGAAACCTGTGAAGCTGGAAGTCTTTGATATGCCTTCTATATCCTAACCTATTATGAGGAAACTGATTTTTTTGTTGCAGTTACTAAAATATTCCACCACAAGGTGACTTTTTAAAAAACAATGGGATTTTTAATATTTTTGAAGAGACTTTTCTTTTTGAAAGAAGTAGTAAGAAAAGAGTTCTTGCTTTTTCCCAGGATTCTTTGTCCACTTAATTTTGAATTAGGAGGAATTGTATATTATTTACAGCAAATTTTTGGAGTATTTTGACTTGCAATGTCTTAAATAAACATATTCAATGCCAGCAGCTGACCATATGGTAGTTGAAACGTAGTTGTCTATGGGCACATGTCTTGATGAGAGCTCTGCTCTCTTTTATTGTAGGTTACTATTCTCAGCTACATGAAGAAGTTTTATTATCTTAAAATGAGCTTGAAAGCCTGTGGCTGGTTGTATTTTTAGCCTTCCAAACATCTTGAATGCTCATCTATTAATTTGGATGTTGAAGCCAAGGGAAATTTACCATCATGCTGTGTAAGAGCTGGAGGCCTTTGGGTGTCGGTATCATCTGCGATTCACAAAAGTGCCTGCAGTTGTCATTAGCATTCTCGTGTCTGCAAGCTCTTTTGGTGACTACAGCTAGAACCGACCTGTGCATTGAATATTCCATCACTTGCAGCAAAGTTGAAGTTGCCTGCAAGCAAACACTGAAACAACTCAAATCCTTAGTCATTCCTTAATCAACGTTTAAACTTTGTTAGAATTCCCTCTTGTTGTTCATTAGCTTATCTATATTGACTGTTTCTTTAGGAAATCTTAAAAGTAATGAGTGAATTATTTGCCAAGGAGGACCTTAAATAATGTATAAGCTACGCTTCTTATGCTAATAGAGCAATATTAATTGTATTAGTACTTACTATTTCTGTTTCACTGTAGCTTCTTTAAAACTGAATCTTGTTCTAAGTCATCTTGTGCTACTTCAGGGATGTGGGGATTTCATGACCGGGACCTTGTTTTACGTAAGGCACTCTATACTATGATGAGAAGTGGAGCTGAAAGGGAAGCACTGAAAAGAAGATGGAGATGGCAACAGACCCAGCAGAATAAAGAGGTCTGTATAGCCTAAAGACAGTCTTGCTAATATCATTTATGGTCAAAAGTATTCTTCTGAAGTTTGGTGTGAAAGTTTTAATTGCTGTCAAATTCCTTGTGCTTCCATTTTGCATGGGGAAGGAGATACTTGTATTCAGGATTTTTGCATGGGAATGAAAATGTATTTGTACCTTGGTGGACATAAATATGCACAGTTTTGTGCCTACAAAGGTCTAAGATGAGTTTGGAACCTGTAGAAAATTTTGGGCTGCAAAGCTATCACAAGCATTATAAAATGAGTGGATGAAATCCACCAAAGCAGGAAAACCCCATTTAGGAAAGATTACCCAGAATGGTGAATTAGGATTCTTAGAGCTGTGACCAAATATCGAGTGGATGTTTCTTAAGTAAAATCATCTGTAGATTTGGTTTGACTGTTGACTAAAAGCTGTACTTCAGCATGTAGTATTTTCTGAAGGTGTCAGTGCCTAAACAGTGGCTAGAAAAGCTGATTTCAGGAGTAATCCTGAATGCAATCAAGTGAATATGCTTAAATGTTTGTGACTTACTTGTAATCTGCTTTTTGTTGGCAGCAGTCAGTCAGAATACGGCTGAGCCATGACTGACTCAGCTACTTCAGGCTACCTGGAAACACAGGGCGCAGGAGCACTTACATATCCTTTCTGCTCTTGAACAGAGGGAGAAATCATCACCTGTCTGCCAAGGCAGGCATTCATAGTAGTTCCATATATTGGGGAAGAAGGCAAACCTCCGGAAATGGGCAGTAAAGCATGCTAACTGTGGTTGCAAGGAATTCATATGTGTAGGAATAACTGGATCTCCAATGATGGAGCACTGTCTTAGCAGCAGCAGACCCATACCTAGAAATGTAATCCAGTATACAGTTAGTGATTTAGATCTTTTTAAATAAGTTAATTTTCTTTGACCTGAATAGAAATGTTGAACCATTAATGGTCCAAGATAGTAAACTGTATTGTGTATGAAGCTCAAAATAAATTAGTCCTAAATACTACTGCAGGACTCTGTTCACGTTTCGTACCAGCATAATCTTAAAGGTATTTCATTCTCTCCCATAGTCAGGTTTAGTGTATACAGAAGAAGAATGGGAACGGGAGTGGAATGAACTGCTTAAACTGGCATCAAGTGAGCCTCGTACACATTTCAGCAAAAATGGAGGCACTGGTGGTGGGTAAGTTTAGAGTATGACAAAAACTTTTTTTAGTTTTTGTTCTCAGTAGGAAAACAATGCAGCACAAAGGAATGTTTACAGGACCATCAAACTGCCTTTTCAACTGGTTGCAAATTTTTTTGCATGGTAGAATATAATTATGTAAACATGCCATTACAATATTTAGCATTAAGTTTCCTTGAACAGTTACCACACCAACTTGAGATTACTTTGCATCTAAAAGAATCAGGATTTCATAAATCCTAATTTCTTGGTTTCTGGAACAAGCATATTGGCGGTAGCGTTTAGCTTCAGGGAGATGAGTGCCTTGTCTCACTGAAGATATGTAGCTTTTCATTTGAGGAAGACTTAGCAGAAAGATAGCTACTGCTCAGATAGTTTCACTAAACACAGAATGACAGAATAACATCACATCTTCTAATAGCATTCTAGAAGTAGTTTGTCCCTGGATATCACCTTTTCTGTGCTTTAGCACAGCTTTAATGCCATCTTGTCCTATCATACATTTATTTCAGTCCTTTTTTGCTTTGTAGTTCAAACAGAAAATCTTCAGAGAGATCTTTTTTGAGGGCAAGTCACCAAGTAACTGTTCATATTTTCTACTTTTAAAATGCTGTTAAGCCTAAATGATGGGGGGGGGAAGTAATATTTTTGGTATTAAAGCTCAAGATTAAATAATTGGATGCAGTGTCTTTTAAAATAGAAAGTAGAATATTGAGTTATACTTTGTAGTCTCGTGAAGCCCTTCTGAAAATCAATATGCTACTTCAATATTTGAACAGCTATAAAAAACTTTAACTAAAAATTATAATAATTAATATTGCACTGGTAGGAACAGTTTCCCTTTCTTTGACTAGTCAAGTTTTTATTAAACCCATGTAACATAAATAGTGCTCTCAAATGCAAGAATTATTTAAAGATTGTAGGGGTGTTTATTTCAAATTAAACTGATTCACTGTCATCCTAGTAAAGTTTGATATTGCTGGAAGGTTCTGCATAGAGTAAGTCTGTATTTCTAAGAACCACATCAGATTCTTTTCTTACCTAATTTCCTATCTATCTAGATTGATTCCATAAGAGAGTGACTGATTGCAGCTACTTTGATTACACTCCGCAAAGTTGCAATGTTTGCCAGTTAATACCCAGTGCTAACAGACAAGCAAGGAGTGTGTTTTCTTGAAGACCCACTTAGTATGCGTGTTTAATCTTTGTTTAATACTCAATTAGTAGCATTTTAGTCAATTAGCCTATTATAAACAGTACCATAAAATTTGATGGTCGCAGGGAAAAAAACAGTACTGTTTACTTCACTGCCAGCATGCATTTAGTTTATGCATTTAGTTTAGATGTTTAGAAGCTGTTGGAAAGAATGGATAAAAACATATTTGTGAAAAGGTTTAGGATGAAATAGTACCTACAACCTTTAAATATGTCTGATGCACATATAGAATCTGCTTTAAATAGCTGGTATGATAAACCATCCCTCACTTTCAGTGCAGTTGTTCCCAAAGTATAGGATTATTGACAAGCCTTAAGAATGAAGAAGCTTTAGTTTTTGTGTCTAGTGTTTATCACTAAAAATATTGTGGGTTTTTATTTGTATAATATTTGTGTAAACAAGTAGTGTTTGTTTACTCAGTGCATGTTTTTCTCTAGCTACTGTTTCCCCTGCAGAAAATTGCACGTGGTGATAAGTAAATTGACAAATAGGGCATACAACACAATGAGAGTAATAAAATCTTTAGAAAATATTCTCTGGGCTTTGAGAATATTATTTGAGAATATTATTATATGTTCCTTTTAACCCTGTGATGTCAAAGATAGGTAATTCTACTAATGCAGGAAGACATTGTTATGAAAATTGTCAGCCATAATGTGTCTCATTTTTTTCTGTCTTGAGGATAAAAAAATAGATTGGTTTTCATTTTACTCTCTAGTTTGTTTCCTATGTTTGTAGATATTTTCCTGTTGATACACTTTAGTCTTCCAATGCTGTTCAATCCACATTTCTGTTAAATTTGGTCATTCATCACCAATTTTCTCTGGCCTTGCCCTCTGTTTCATTCTGTATGTCTCACCTGCTATGTAGTTTCAGTATCTACCAGTCACAGGTGTCCTCAAATGTTGCATTTGCCAGTCAGTCAACCATCTTGACCTTTAGTTCCCAGATACTTAAACAGGGAGTATCACTATTATATAAAGAATTAATTTAAATTGTTTCTAATGTTCTCATTGTGGTTTGCATTTATATTTTGCAAATCAAAACAAACTAAGGATAAAGAGAAAACAGCTAAGTTTTCCTCTAAAATAGTGAAAGAGGAATCAGGCAAGAAACCTAGCCTATAAAACATGTGAATATGTAATTCTCCTTACAATCGTTTTAAAGACAGAATGAATGTGACAGAATGAATTATATTCTCAGTTCAATGTACCCATGTTCAAAATAGAGCCCTTGAGAAGGAAAAGGAATATCAAAATAGTATTTTTGAGCTGGGGTATATTACATTCTCTAGTTAGGTACTGTATTAAGAAAGCTTGCAAATTAGTCTTTGAATTGCAGATGAGGCAGTCTCCTTTGGTGTCAGATTAGCTAAAGCATCAGAAGTTGTATCAGCTTCAAAAGAATTCAGTGACAAGCCTAAATCTGGAATTATGCTGCCTCATTGACTTTCAAGTTCTTTTAGTTATTTTTCAGAGTGAACTACATGCAAAGGAGATCAGCAATTGTTGCTAAATCTCCAAAGATTTCTTCTTTGAGAGCACTCTCATTCTGAGGCTTGGAAGTTGCGGGGCGGGGGAAGATAAAGGGACCACAGAAAAACCTTGTTCTTGAGTTCTTGTTTCCAACATGTAAAATCCTTCAAGCACTAAAGCTGACCAAACTAATTATGAAGCAGATTTTTGTTTAGAAACAAATTTGCACATCTTCCCATAAATGTAAAAAATAAATTTCAGATTAACATAATTGTTAATATGTCTCAGGGGTGCTGAACTGAAGCAATTGCTTTCAAAAAAGAAAAATGTCTGTACCCTCTTTTTTTTAAGAACCTAACTATTGCAATCCTGCTAAAGAGAAAATTGCAACCCATTCCTTCACTTTGCAGACTACTATCAGTCAGAGATTTCAAAGCCTGTTCTAGTGCTAGATTGATTATGCCTGTTGTTAATCACTTCTTGAAAACCTGGTAGAGCTGAAAGCTAGATGTCGTGTTGTGTCGTGGTATGAGCTAATACAGATTTTGAAAGTGGATGGTATTCTTATTTAGTATTAACTGTCACCTTCTAGCTAGCTGTCTCATATGCTATTGGCGCTATCTTCTTAATAAAGTCAAGTGATTTTAAATGGGGAAAGAGGGTGAGAATATTGCTGTCATCTTCCCGTGTGTCATTAGAGTTTTATTTAAGGCAGAAAACCAGAACATTTAAACAGGAAGTACCTCTCATGCATTTAATCTCTGAGCATTCAGCCTTGGTTAGGCTTCATTCTTCGTAAAAAAACTACTGCGTCCATCAAAGACCCTCATCTTGCAAAGAATTTAGTTTAGATCGTTTGACAAAGACATGGCTTTAAAACTGTGTTTATTTGACCTGGTTGTCTATTACAGGAGTGTTACTCCTTTTTAACTGTTCAGTATATGCAGCAGTTACAGGATACAGATAGAAAAAGGTTCGTTATAACAGTATATCTTTTCCTTATTAGCTGAAGTTTCTAGTTAATGGTTAATAAATCTTTTCAGCTGGCCTATTTTCAATTGATGTAAATTGTACTTAAGCCAAACGCAGCCTGGAAATAATCAAATTGCCGTGGTGATTCAAATATGCTAGTTCAGACAGCCCTTCAGATCTGAAAATGGTGCATAACCCACAGACTCTAGAGAAGAGATAAAATTCAAGGCAAAGGAGAGATCAGAATTATGTCATATCAGAATTAAGTATTAGTACCTATGTAGTGACTGGGTTTTTCCTTATTTAACAAGTTTTTGTTGAATTCAGGATATTTCCTATTTGACAGATAGTTGCATCTTACATGCCACAGATGATGTTTTACGCAAAAGCATGCACTTCCACAGTATTAAATAGAAAACAACATTCAAACCAAAATAATCTAGGGAAAGTTGATTTAGGTTTTTTCTTTTATTATATGCCTTGAAAACCGCTTCCTATATATTGCTTTTGCTGATAAAAAAGTATTGGTATTTTTAAAGACTAAGAAATAAAAAATGGAACTCGAAACATTCGCATTCTGTATCTCCTTTAGTCAATGCAGTATACCATTTTTTTTTCCCTGAAGAAGGGAAATGGCCTGCTACTGTGCAATTTTTTGTGTTTGAGTCGAAGCTCATTGCTGAAATACTGTGTAAGGAAATCAATGGCTAGGTTCCTACACCTACCTACAGCAGAAATTTGTACTTGCTGGTAAGCTGTGGCTTTAATTTTGGGATTCTTAAGCAGGGAAAGAAGAGGTTTCAGAAATGGAATGGTGGCAGATTGAGATACAAACTCAGATTTCATTCTGGTCTCATGCTTGTACCTAATGACCAGGTTGAAGAACTTGATACTTGTCATGTTGTTTCAGTACATCTCAACTGTCTGCAGGCATTGCTCTCTTGCTCTGCGTGAATCCTGAAGCTTAATCTAAACTTGGAATAGCTGTTATGAGTCTGTTGGACAATTCTGAGAATCTGGAGCATACGTATGGAAAAAAAAAGCAAGGTTACCATAGGGAGCTGTTTGGAAGGAAACCCAAAGATATGAAAAGAGATCTTGCTGAGAGTGTACAGGGAAAAGAGAGGAGCAGATAGCCAGGTGGAACAGCAGGGTGGGTATCAGTGGGCCTGGAGGATAGACTGAGTTTTTATTTTTTTTTTTCCTTTTTTGTTCATTTGTTCGTACAATCAAGATAAATTATTTAGTCAGATATTGACTAATGCGGATTAGTCAATTGCAATTGACTAATGCAATTTAGATTGATATGCAAATTGATATGCTCTTATATATGT